AGCTACCCCAAGATGCACCCCAGCGACGAGACCTTGCCCCAGCTGGCCAGCATGTTCCTGCAGTACCTAAGCCGCAGCATCCAGTGAACCCTCTCACCCGTGCCACACGCAGCCCGGGCCGTGCTCCGGTCCCAGAGTGCTTGCAACAGTAAGAACGTGCCTTCCAGCCACGGACCCCGCAGAGCTGGGGTCCCGCCTATCGTGCGTCGGATCGTGTGGCGGCTGCAGCTCCGGGAGGATGGATGCCATGTCCCTGCAGCAGCCGAGCAAGCTCTGTTGCTAAGAGGGTCCGTAGGGATGCTGTTCCCTCACCCCTGCGTTTTCCCCGCTTGCATCTTTCGGAAAGGAGAGCTACTGTTGTGTCCCCGAGCGAGTGAGGTCTCCTATGGAGACGTAAACCCCAGTACTCAAATAGCGTCTGGACACGAAAGCCCAGAAGGTGGTGACCGTAGGGAAGACCTGTCCCCTCCGCATTGGTATGTGTATGTCTTGAATAAGAAGATTGTTTTTCCAAGGCTGTCGCCAGATAATGTCAAACTGCAAAAGAGACTTCAGGTCCAGAACTGAAACAAGCTGTGTTTTTAGGATGCGACTGCTTCAGAAAATCCTACTGAACCCCAGAGATAGATTTGCAAACTCTGCACTACGGAATGGTTCTGGCTTAGCAAACTCAAACCTCTCTGTTTCAGGTTTAACAATCAATTGTGTGCCTTAAATGGAGTAAAGTCTTAATTGACCTGCAGGACTATTCTATTAAAATCACTTGCTATGTCTTTTCTCTGCAAGGTCATCATTAAGCAGCTTGGAAAACACTTAATTGTTTAAGAATGAGTGTTCTCATGGGAAGAATGAGCTAAAATGACAGTGTCTGTTCTGGGTGAAACTCTCCCGTAGGCCTGTACCAGGTGTGATGGGTAACTTGGTTTTGCGCTTAGTTTCAACTAATTTTCAGTCTTTGCTATACCACATATTATATAAACTTTTCACTTTCTGGTGAATACTTCATCCCTCATTTTAATAAATTGTGGCTTTTGGTTCTAATTGTATGTGTAGTGCTACTTGGGAGGAAATGGTAAAGTGGGGCAAGAAGGGTCACTTCAATTACATTGGCTGTTTATCTGATGTACTGGCTGCTAGGTGGACTTAGGCACTGCAGAACTGAGAAATGACTACAAAAATGTTTTGATGTAAATAAGTTTATTTTCCCAGTCAAAGTAAAGAGAATAAAGCTGAGAAAATACATTCAGTGTCTCTGAAACTTTTATGAGATCTCGCAGACTAAGGGTTGGTATTTCAAGACTGTGAGCACTTCCATTTAAAATCTGCTTTGAAAATTTCTCTTAAAAAAAAAAAAAAAAAAGTGTTTTGCGGTACCAATTACCAGATGATTGAACTCTTCTGACATGAAGCACTGATCCTTGATGATAAGAACAATGGGTGTTTTCCAGACTTAAATCAGCCTCTCCTCAAGGAAGAGGCAAAATCATGTTGGACTGTATGGAAACAATGAAAAAAACTGGGTTTTCATCATCAGGGAGAGGGCGCTGGTGCAATACAAGCTTTACTAGGGAAATGTGTATTCTTGCTCCTTACTGCAAACAGAGTGCTCTGTAAAGGTGATAAAATATTGGTTAGTTATAAATGGCAGACTTCTGTTTGAACTATTCTAAATGTTAATGGCTTCCTCTCCACCCTTTCCTTGTTCTGAAGGCCATAACTGAATGCTGTTAAGTAGAGAATTCCTTTCATATCTATCTACAGCTAAAGAAAAACTCATACATCTATTCTGCTAGTAATTTACTTGCCGTTACGTGCAAAGGTGTTTGTAATTTCTGTGTGTGAAAATTTTACTTTATTTTTAACCTCTGATGTGGTAACAGAGTTTACAGTAGCAGAAAGCTTACAGTTTGCTTTGCTTGGCATATCCTGAAAGAAGTATCCATGTAGTATATTCTCTCTAGAGTCCTTCCTTTCCTTCACTTAGTTTTACGCTGTTCTTACTGTTCTGGAAGCTACATCATTATTACCAGCTTCCCTTGGATACTATGCCATAGCTTAAGGGGTTTATTGGTGAGAGAAAAGGGATGAGATTCCCAATTCCTTGTTCCTTAGTCTTTCTTAGTTTTTTGTCCTAGTCAGTGTTCACCAGCTCAACTGTTGGATGGTAGAAACAATGAAAATGTTAGTAAGGACTTCTGCATGCAGAAAATGTAGAGGTAAGTATTGTACTACCTGGATGTGTTCAATAGCAACAAAAGTCACCTGTAGTTGTATTGCTTTTCTTGTTAGAACGGTAAAATTGATGCAAAATAGTCAGGAGCAGTGAAGTGGTGGATTAATTGAATCACCAACCCTAACAACAGGAAATATGTGGAATTCGTAGTGTCTTTAAGGCCTCTCTTGTCTACTCGCATAATGCAGCCTGAATGTGTTATAAAGCAACTTAGAGAAATTGAACTGGTAAGTTTGATTTTGTCAGAAGGTGAAATGCTGAAGGGATTTTTGAAGAATAGGATTAAATAAAACATATCTCGGGGTGATGGAAGCTTGACTTCTGGGTAGCATAGGTAGTAAAGGTCAAGTGAATTATTTGGGAAGAGAGAGAGAATAATAAAGAATAACTTTGGTCCTTTTGCATTGCACTTTATTGAGGCTGCAGTTCCACGCAGGCCCCCCCTCCTCCTCAGTCCTGGCACTTGTCACATTTGTCACAGATTTGTTTCAGCATGCCAACATGTAGGAAGCTAGCCTGGCAGCCAGAGGGTTTGCTAGGTTACTGTGTGTGATTACTGTTCAATGGAGGGTCTTAGTCGTAGGAAGTGACTGAAACATAAACTAGTAAGAGCAGATCTTCCAAAGAGAGTCTCCTCCTCTATGAGCAGTTATTGCCTGGCAGTTATAATAAATTACTATTATACATGTTCTAAGATTGGGAGAACTTTTTGCAAGACAACCTTAGAACACAGCAGAATCTCTTTACATCTCTCTCATTTTCTGTTACATTTAACCTTTGTAGAAGTCTTGACTGTTAAAATGTGCATGTAATACAATGTAGTGACTTAGAGGCTCAACTGGAAGCTTTCTTTGACAATTTTTTCTTTCTTTCTTTTTCTTCCTTTCCTCCCTTTTCTCCCTTTCCTTTCTTCTTTTTTTAGTGGTTTGCCTCTTATGGTTATCATCCACAAGTCTTGGTGTGGAGCTTGCAAAGGTAAGTGTATTTAATACTAGAACTTGCTGAAATTTCTAATGAACTTTTGTATACAGATCATGTAACCATGAGAAACGTGAACTTTGCATTCAAAATGTAGCTAATGGTATTTGTATTTCATTTAGAGCGGTGTAATACTGTGCCACTTTACCTGTTAGCGCTGCCAAAAGTCAGCCATGCCTAAATGCCAGCAAAATAACAGCTGCATTACTGCACTTCTGTAGTGGCTGCAATTTCTCCTGCACTTGGCTATAAAAAATGGAACAGAATGAATGATGTTCAAGGATTAAGTGTAAATTGCCTTACTTTCAGCTGGTGGTTCTTCGAAGACGAGGCTTTGTCTCTTTCAGTATCACAAATGAACAAGCTGGGCATAATGGCTAAGCTTAAAGGATGAGCTAGTTGAGTGAGAATAGTGGTTTACAGCAAGCTTTTTGCTTCTGTTCCATTGGTTCAAATATGACCACATATGTCTGTTGGCCAGGCTTCATCATATGGCTGCGCAGCAAGGACTGCTTCAGTTACCTGCTGTTCTGAGCCTGGCTTGAATGGTTTCATACATATATTCCATTTACTCACTGCTTATTGAAAAGTACCAGCTCTCCAGAGGGAGGAATGAAGTTCAGATTTTGATGCTGACCTGAAATCTTTTCCATTGTCTTTACACACCTCCTCTTTTTTTTTTTTTTTTTTTCTTTTTTTCACCATATTTAGCTTTAAAGCCAAAGTTTGCTGAATCCAAGGAGATCTCTGAGCTTGCCCATAATTTTGTTATGGTCAACCTTGAGGTAGGCTGCCCTCTGATTTGTATCCATATTGCTGTCTGGTAATTATTTGGAATCCTACTTAACTGGTTGCATCCTGTTTTGTGTACATCCTAAATCCTGCACTCCTGAATAGGTATTCAGGATTGATTGATATAGCTGATTGTTTTAAAAAGAATTTTCTTCAGTCTGGTTATTTTAATTGTGTTTATAAACCTGGCTCTCTGCCATTGTCTCTTTCACAGTTTGTACCTTGTGTCATTCTGTGCCGCAGTAATGGAATTTATTTTCATTCTCTCATGACATATCAGCCATTCCTACAGCAAAGTGGAGTGTTTAATGCAAATTGACAGAACAGAAAAAAATATGATTATTTTCACAAATGATACTTGTTTAGGTAAAAATAACTTTTTTTTCCTTTGAGAGTGGAAGATACCGCAGTTACCTAGTGTCTGCTCAAGATGTAAATTGCTCAGGGTAAAAGGAGTCAGAAGGCAATAGCTTGTTTCTTTAAAATGAGTGCTGTGTTTTGTTGGGTATCTTGCTAACATGTTCCCTCTCTTCTGTCCTGCTTTGGTAGGATGATGAAGAGCCAAAGGATGAAGCCTTTAGTCCTGATGGAGGTTACATTCCCAGAATCCTTTTCATGGGTAAGGCAGCCACAGCTGTTGTATCCACTCACAGTTCTTACTGTTACCAATTGTCTATTGTTACCACCTAAATTTCCTGTTTGATTTCTTGTTTCATAGACCCCAGTGGAAAAGTCCACCCAGAAATCATAAATGAGAAAGGAAACCCCAGCTACAAGTACTTCTATACCAATGCTGATCAAGGTATGTGCAAAGTAGTTTGAAGTGCATTTTTAGTGAGATGAAACTCTGGGTGTGTCCTGAGTGAAGGACACACCTTCACTTTTGAGTGGAGAAAAATGATGATACTTTACAGCATAACTGGGAGCTGTTAGATACAGTGTGAGTGAGTGGTTCTTTTATGCCTTGAGGAACCACGTTCAGAATGATGATTCACCTTAATACCTACTATAATGTCTATAGGACCTAAACTTTGTCTCCAGTTGTGACATGGCAAATCATGCAATTCGCATGACCCAGCTACAAATAGTTAGGAAAAAGGCGCAGGACTGTTCTTGTTTTCCACAGGTTAATTTGTAGATCTACATTCTGTACCTGTATTGTTTTAAAACGCTTTTATTACCACTCCACTTTGACGTTTTCATTTTGAGATTAATAGTTGATACCTCTCTGTCTAATCTTTCAGTTGTCCAAGGGATGAAGGAGGCCCAGGAGAAGCTAACAGGTGATGCTTTCAAACAAAAACACCTGGGAGATGAACTATAATGAATACACTGAATGATGCTTTTCCATCACTTTGAAACTCTAAAAGGAAATGATTAAACAGACCAAGAATGTAGATGCACTGAAGGGACATAATTATTCTGTCAACAATGTTAGCTTAAACCCTGTTTGGAGTTCACACACATGCATCAGTTACAGTGTTATCTCCTCCTCTGCCTGGCAGTTTGTACTGTAATGGTTATTTGCAACTAGGTAATGTGCAAACACATCAGTTTGTGTGTTTGAGCAACCACTAATATTTGGTGTTAAAAGGGAGGTGTGTAGGGTGAAACATTATTTGAGGACAAACAGTGTGATTGGAATAACAAGAAGTAGCCAACATTTTGACACTTAAGCAGGGTTGGATCCCTCTTTTTCACTGGTATTATGAGATCCCGTTGTTTTTACTGGGGATTCCTATCAATGGGGCATGTTCCTGGGCCAGGTGTTTTCTAGACATCCCAAACCATGAATTCTGCCACTAAGCCAAGTAGAATAAATTTCATGAATGTCCAACTAGCATGTGAAATTATTAGCTCTGCAAACATATTTTTGTGTAAAACTGTGTGTGATTCATCTTTATTTGCCTTTGGGCAGAAATTTAATTTTTTCCTTGGGCACTCACCTTTTGATTGTTTTATCAAGTGAGGGTGGGTTATGTTGAAGCTTTACGGGGAATTCCCCTTTTATTCTTTGAATGTTTTTTGGCGAATGCCTTGCCATCACATTGTACTGTATTTTTGTACCAGGGTGAAAAATTAAACCTTTTTAAACATAAGCATGCAGACAGTGTTTTGTGGTAAAGGGCGTAGCTTTCCATTCTCAAGGTTGGGGGAATATATTTTTGTTGATGTTGCAGTGGTTATTAATGTTGAATGTCATAGCTGAAGAATGTTTCTGCTTTTTATAATTAAAAGAAAACAGTTGTTTTTTCCATGTAATCACAATTCAGCCATTCTTATACTACCTATACTGTTGAGGGCAGGGTAGTACCTAGTGTTTATCTATTGGAACTGAAAAGAAAAATAGAGGGGAAGAAAATCACCTCACTTAACCTGCTGGTAATGCTTTTCCTAATGCAGCCGGGGATGCTGTTGGCCTTCTTTGTCACAAGGGCACATTGCTGGCTCATGGTCACCTTGTTCTCCACCTGCACTCCCACGTCCTCCTCCGCAAAGCTGCTTTCCAGACTGTCAGCCCCCAGCCTGTACTGGTGCACAGGTTATTCCTCCCCAGGTGAAGGACTTTGCATTTCTCTTTCTTGAACTTCCTGACAACCCTCTCTGCTTATTTCTCCAGCCTGTTGAGGTCCTTCTGAATGGCAGCACAACTGCCTTGTTATCAACTACTCCCTCCAGTTTTGTATCATCTGCCAGTTTGCTGAGAGTGGACTCTGTCCATTCATCCAGGTTGTTAGCGAAGATGTTAAACTATCAACCCCAGGGGTACTCCACTAGTGATGAGCCCCTTTGAGCTGAGTCGCTCTGCCAGTTTTCCGTCCACCTGACTACCCATTAATTTAGGTTGTACTTCATCAGTTTGTCTATGAGGATGCTGTGGGAGATGGTGTTGAAAGCCTTAGTAAAGCCAAAATAAACAACACTTACTGCTCTCCCCTCATCCACCAAACTAATCATCTAAAGGAAGAAATCCTGTCCAAAAGGCACTTACCATAACTTCCCATAACAAACAGAGATTTTTCTACAGATGACTTTTGAAGAGCTATCTGAGGACATGAGTTGGGGAAAATGGTATACAATAAACCCAACTTGTCTACTCGAGTCCATTTTCACTGTTCAGTAGCATTATGAATTTTACTTTCCAGACCAGTCTGCCTTTAAGGGATTTTAGACACCAAAACTCAATTGGGCACTAAAAGACAAGGACTCAGTGGAAATAATGGGATTATTGCACATTACAATTACCCTACTCAGCTACTAAAAGTTATTCTACAGGTTTTATTCTCTGCTCCTCTTGCAAGTTGTCTAACAAGTTAATGATTAAATTGAACTCAGTAACTATTCTCGAGTTGTATCAGCCTTCAAAGTAAATAATTCTGTGTAAGTCCTGAAAAAGGATTTGTGTTTTGCATAATTGTCTTTTTTTTCCCAGCTGTATCAGTTGACCTAATAAAAAATAGGCCCAGTCTGATGCTCCTTATTTCATTTATAGCCTTAGATTGACATGACTATAAAAAAATCATTGCTATGTCTTTTTTACTTGCCAGCAGGGGGAGGACTCTGCTTGTTCATCTGGGATATGATTCAACAAATAATAATTTAAAAAAAAATCTCTGATGCAAAATAGCAGGGTGCACCTCTGCGATTTTCCAGGCATGCTTTTGCAGCAGCTCTGCCCTTAGCTCTGAGTGAAATTAGAGCCCATGAGATCTGCATCATTTGTCCCTTTCTTTGCTGTCAGAAGCAACATGGCCTCAAAGTAATTTTTAAAAACTTCTTCATCTAGAGAGATCTCCCTTCAGTGACAGATGCTGGCAATGTGCTTCAGCCTTTACATTTAAGACCATCCTGATTCAAAATTACTCTCCTTCACCTCTTCTCTCATGCATCTCCTTCAGCACTTTATGCCTTCCAGACTTGCTACTTCCAAATGAAAGAAAGCATTCCATAATCCTTTTTCCCTTGTAATCTGGCTGCCTCCTTTCTCACTAATCCTTTCTACCCTCTGTATGTTCAGACATAGTGAGCTGGTACAGCTTCCCCACCCTCCCTTCTACTTGCTCTTTTCTACACCATGCTTTTGTCCTCTGTAGCAAGATGGAGCTTGGCAGTTGCTAGCCTGCTTGGTGTTTATCTGGGGTCTCAGTAGAATATGACGTACGTGCTGCCACAGCTTGATTGCTAGGGGAAGTTAGTTAACAAGTGTAAAAGCTGTTTCACATCTCTGGATTGCAGGGTAAACTTACTTTTGATCTGTTACTTAAATATTTTTCTACCTGTTAAGTTTTATACCTGGACATTTTAGTCACTAACTCTTAATGAAGATTCTTTACACCCTTATGCTTTTTAATCTAGATCAGATGATAACTGCTGGTTGGCGTTTTCTTCTATGTGGAGGGATACATCTTGAACCTTCCATCCAACAGTTGCTTTATGTATGTTGTGTAACTTTATGCACGCAAGCAACTCCACAGGGTTTAGAGGAGCTGCTTACAGGTCAGTGTTTGTTGTAGTTGCATTTAAAGTTAATTATACACTGCAGCAGCTCAACAGTGCACAGTAATCAAGGCCTCGGATTAGTTTGCCCCCATCAGCTTTGTTTTGTGTGCTGCCCATCTGCATATGACTTGCAGTAAACCTGCATACTTACATAACTTCCTTAGATGCATCCTAGAAATCCCCTTGGATTCTCAGCTTCTACTCCTTTTATGGTGATAACAAAACCCAAAGACACTTCAGAATTCTTAGTATAGACCCAGGGAACTGCCAGGCCAAACCAATCTCATGTAAACAAACATGCTGTCAGCTTCCTTTCTCCCAGAAACAACCCACAGAGGAAAAAAAAACCCAAAGTTAATTAAAGAGTGACTGGATTGCAGCTAGCCATCTGGCTGCCTGGGAGCAGAGGTTGCTTTGTGCACCTGGGGCTGAACAGGCTTTTAAGGAAGCGTCAGCTAGAGAACTCTGGGAAACCTTTCCTTTGCCATGCTTAGCAGCAGGGAACAAAAGTGCAACAACCAAGAACACCAGCATGGCCAGAGTGTCCCGTCCATCATCCTGGCATGCTGAGTTTAGGAGTCATCTTCTTCAGATGCACTTTTGTCCCCGTGGCTGTTTGTCTGCCATCATTATCTAGCCTGTATCAAACTGCTAATGAGCTTCATTCATTGTCCTCACTTACAGCTTGTGTAATGAATAGCTCTGAAGTGAGATATTATTAAACCCTTATGAATGCAAGTTCATATATCCTTTGAGGTGATGAAACTTCTCTTAACTTTTGGCAAGAGGAGAGGCATTTGCATTATGCTGTGATATTTATTTGGAGCTGAGCCAGTATTATGCCTGATTGGGTTTGCCCAACCAGGAGAACCACTCCGGGGCTATTCCTTGGCAACTGTGGCTATAGGTGGATCAAAACTTGAGACTTAAGGATGGAGATTCAGATAGCAATAAAGGTGGAATTACATTGAGCAGAACTCTATCCAGAGAGCAGGATAAACAGGGGAACTTTACTGTAAGTTCATGCTCATCTCAAAGAGAGCAAAGGCAAAGGATGAAGTTTATCTAAAAGGTTGTACCCCACTTCCAGACAGATGTGTAAGTTGTCTTTGGGGCTAACTGGACAGGGGAGCTTGCTACCTGGAGGAGACCACAAAACAATCGTGAAGGTCTGTCAAAACGGTAAAAGTCACTTTGTCTCAAAACTATTTGGCACATTAACTCGTTCCCCCTTTCTTCCTCCAAGAAACAGGTGCTGATTTGTTAAGCAGTTTAGTCAAATAAACTCAGTTTGCTTTTCCTTTCAAAGTTTGTCTAGCGTAAGGAGTGGCTGCGTACAGTTCCCAGGCCTGCCATTGTCTGGGGAGCACCACTCCTACGAGAGGTGGTGATTCACTCTTGCAGCACCAGCCTGGTGCCACCACGTCAGCATGGCCCGAGGAGGAGGAATCTCCACGGACAGCTGCCAGCCAGCTCCTGTGGCCTATCATGGGCAGTGGGGACAGGGTCCAAGACTTGAGTGATCCTCTCCAGGCTGTGACAAATGTCATGGCATGATTTTGTAACGGCTAAATCTGCGGTAGGTTCCTTATTAGGGACCAAAAAAAAAAGAGACACCCCAAACTCCTCCATTCATAACTACACTGGAAGCCGGGACTGGCTGACCTGTGCTTACAGCGTTCCAGGTTCTGACTCAGAACAGAACAAGAGGCTGCTACACACCAGTCCGTGCTGGCACTCGTCCCAGGATGGGGCAGAGCAGCCCATCAAGCAAGGTGCAGGGAGCAGGCAGGGTACATCCCAGGCATGGGATCACCGGGTGGGTGGGTGCTGTAAAAACAATCGAGTGTTTCTGAGCTGCTCCAGTGTTCTGCTTTCCTCCGACCAACACAGGGGTCTTCTCCTCCATTTCCTGTGTCCCTGACATGATGTGGAGGATGAAGGGGAGACAGCTTCCTAGAGTTTCCCCCTTCTCAAAAGGGCATAATCCCATTGCTGCCACTCCAAGCCAGACCAAGGGTGCGAAGACCCACAGAAGCCGCAGGGGTAGCTGGGACAGGGCTGAAGGGGCAGGGCAGTCTGGACTGAATTTGGCTAAGGCTGTAGGTAACTGGTTGCTGGTTAGAGACCTTTGTTGGTATATACTCGGTTTTGGACCATTTTGCACACGCACAGCATGGCGTAGGTAGACGTGCTGCAGAAACGTTAATTGATAAGAACTGCAGATGTTCTCCCTGCTTTCTGAGTGTGTTTCAGGACACAAAATGCTGTGCATAAAAGAAGCTGTGTTGGTAGCACAGTCAAATTTGGATGTCACTTTATTGTGCTATTTCTGCTATTGTGGTATTATGAACAGTTTTCAAAATCCCATTTGTAAGGATTTTGGTGCATTAGCCCTGTTAAAGAGAATGAAATCTGCACACATCTTGGGGATGCAGCATGGGGCATACATGCTGTTTATTCCAGACTGAAGTGAAGAAGCACCTGGGTGCGTGCTACCTATTGAGGTAAGGAGGATTTCTTTTTCTCCTTGTGGTTGGCATGTTTTCACCTAGCTTCCCTGGACAACAGCTGGTAATGAGCTGAAACCACTGCTCTGTGTGCAAACTGTGCTTCTTTGGGATACAATTTTGTCTATGTATGCCCAATGCTTAGCATGAGCTTAGATGATGAGTCTTTTAGACTCAGGGTCGTTAGTATCATTACTACTTACAGCATCGCACATAGCAGACCATCATCCTCGATTTAAGTGC